CTTTTTTTCTTTCTTTCGTTTTCTATCAGGAAGATAATCTCTTAAACCAGATAAGAGACTAACTTGGCTTTTACAGCATTCCTTAGCATTTAAGTCAAGGACTACAAAGGTGGCTTCAAAAAGAAGCAAGGACAGAGAACAAAATGGAAGACAGAATCCAGCTGCAGACACCGCGTGGGTTTGTGGTTTGACGCCATTTTAATTTATGCGTACATGATTAGCATTAATATAATTAACCTAACCACAGAATCATGACAAAAGTAACATTATTAATATGTAAGAAAAAAGAAAATGGAAACAAGTCAATAAAAAACATTAAAAATGGAAAAGTAGTAGGATTGAATTGGAAAAAAAGTAAAGAAACTAGAGGGTATGCACACTGGTGTAGTAAAAAAAATCCTACCCAACTGCATGAGGATAAATTCTTTACAGTGTTATCATGTAGCTGTCTATGTGCTGGGATAATTACAACTCATGCTTTGGATCATATTCTTCATGCAGTGGTGTAGAATTTTTTTACCACACCAGTTTACATACTCTCTAGTTTCTTTACTTTCTTCCAATTCAATCCTACTACTTTTCCGTTTATAATGTTTTTTATTTACTTGTTGTATACTAGTTTCAAAGTCTATTAAACTTATATAGTAGGAACATTTCCCACATAATTATGATTGATTTATACACTGAGTGTGGGACTGATGACCATATTTTGTGCTGAAATTTCAAAGCATTTTCCATCGATTTCAGTGAAGTGTCCTGGACATGTTGCAGATTCTGTTTTTTGTATTGCTGCACATGCAGCTGTGCCAGCACTCAATAATGCTACTGTCAAATTAACCCTTTCACGGTCGGGGCTAAAAAGATCTAAATCATCCTGTGGTCAGATGTTTCATTGAATGACATAGCTGCAAGTGTAATTGCTATTATCAGAACAGTACAGGCATACATAATAAGTTAATTTTTAAATGGGACAAACGGACAGTTGAAGTGCCTGTTCTAATGCTAAGCTTCATAGTATATGTTTGTAGTGTGATTGTATGACTGAATTAGTAGGATCACGAATATTCTTGACCAAATAATAAAAGAAGAGAGAGAGTTAGAATGGAAAGAGGAAATGAAGGAAGAATGGGAATGTTTTAGAAAGAGTGAGAAAAGAGAAGTTACATCAAATGATAACAAACAAAATAGTAACTTACACTCACACTACTAAAATAGTTCGATAAAATGTTTACAGTGAACGATAGAGATGAACGACGAATGATGAACGAACGATGAATGAACGAGACGAACGAACGGTAGTTACTCAGCTTCTCTTCAGATCTGTGTATATG